GCAAAGGCCCTGGGTCCAATTCCCCCAACCAAAAAAAGGCAGGAAAAACAAACATTTATAAATATACAACTACAGACTGTCTCACTTACTCCTCCTAATTATCCTGTGCTGTAGGTATTATTTCATGAGGGAAAGTAAAAAAGGTTACTTTTCAAGGATGTCAGCTGGAGAGTGGTTGAGCGGGAACAAAACCCAATACTATTTCTCCAAAACCTTCACCTGGGCTATTGTACATTTCCTCTCCAGTGCTTCCCAGGCAGAGAGGAACAAGAGTTGGAGGGAAGGGGAATGCAGACCCTGGGACAGGGAGGATTCTAACAGTCACTAACAGCAACTAATGTAGCGATGACAGACTGGGCTTGCAGCAGGGCTTAGACTGGGAAGAAGCAGGGTGCAGAACAATGGTGCAGAACTAGACAGTAGTGAGACACGAGCAGAGAAGGGTCCAGATCGCTCAGGGCTGTGTAGCCAAACCATTGCTAACCTTTCTGCTTTTCCTCTGAGATGAAGTCAGGGGTTTTGTGCAGAGAGCCGGGACAATCTGACCTGTTTTGCAGGCTGTTACACGGAGCATGGTGACGGGAGCAGACAGGCCCAGAGGAGCAAGTGGAGGCTTGGAGACAGGAAGCCGCACCAGTACTCCCAGTGAGGGCAGTGGTGCTGCACCAGGGCAGGCACACCGCAGGTTAGCGTGAACTGTCTGAACTGGAAGTGTTCCGAAGTGGAAGCCAGCACCGCTTGATAAAAGTGTGAGAGAAAAGAGGAGCGTCTGAAATTGCTTTAAGGGTTTTACACGGGTTCAAACAAGGAGAGGGTATTTCAAGGAAGAGTGCAGAGAAGAGAAAACTGACATGAACTGCAAGAATGACACACATAAATACGTCAGGCAGGAAGACGTCTACGCCTGAGACAAGGAGAAGGATTCTAAAGTGAGCAAAGCAACAGCACGAGTGACAGGCAAGACATTTACAAGAACGCGCCAGGAAGACGTCACAGAGAACAAGCAGATGTAAACAGTCTGTCCTCAAAACATAAACATTTCCCAAAATGCATCCCTCTGTGGGGCACTAGGAGCTAACCAGCATCCTGTGTGTGAGGAGCAAGTGATCCTGAAGCAGTGAGAAGCAGAGAAACCCTCATGGCTGTGCAAATGGATTCGCAAACTTCCTCTCCCACTAAACATGCCACGAAAGGAGACAATGAAGGATGCTATACAATGGAATACTACACAGTGAGGAGAACAATCTATAATTTCATAAAATAAGAAAACCTGAATCTCACAGATATAATGTTGAACGAAAAAATCCAGAAAAAAAACCAGATTATATTATCCTATTAATATAAAATATAAAACCAGGGAAAAAGACTCTGTGGTTTTGTAAGTCCCTACCCCTTGGGAGGAAGGAGTTACCGGGAGTCAGTGAAAGGGGGACTTCCAGGGTTGCTAGTAATCTTGCAGGTCGATCTGGGTGCTGATTACACAGCTGCCTTCAGTTAGTAAAAACTCATTGAGCTGCACTTTTCTATATTATATTTTACTTCAATAAAGTTTTTAAAATGCCATTATACCAGGCCATATTTCCTGTGTCCTGGGAAGAACAGAGCTGTCTACTTAGAGTTCTTATTACAGATTAGCATTTATCCAAAGCAAGAGCAGGAAAACCTAAGAAGCTTACAGGATTCACCGAGTAATCTCACTGGGCTCTACGTACCCTGGGTGAGGGGGACAGGGAAAGACCCTGATTTCGGAGAATGATTAAAAGAACTGCAATGGCCGTTCAGTTTGAAGGCGCACATGTTTCAGGAGATACAAACCTTTTGTAATGATTTCCTCCATGTCCCGGGGAAACGATGTCATGCGTGCTTCAAAGAGAACTGCCAAGTTTAAAAGGCTGTTTTTGTAAACAGGCATGTGGGGCCATAAGTTGCACGAACCAAAGGACAAGTGACTTCTTTGGAGAACAAAACAGAACACCACAGGGAGCTGGGAACTGTGCAGTCAACAAAACCGCCAGCACCAGCCCGGCCATTTGTCTCTCTCTGGCCACCTTTAACGATTTAAGAGTTCATGCTGTCATCTTATCATCAATCAATGACCATGATGGAGCAGCCTCGAAAAACCAGAGTTTTTAAAATGCAACTGTCCGTGACCTAAATTTCCTGCTGGTTCTGTGGGCCCCAGGTTAGGCTGGCTTGTCTATCGTCTAGGGAGCCAATATAAATACTAAAAACAGGTCAACACTGGGATTTTCAAAGCCTCTACAACAAAAAAGAAAGAAAAAATCACACGTTTCCAATCAGTGCCAACCCAAAATGTCCATTTTTTGCTTGAGCTATCAGCATATTCTGCCCCAATAACAAAATATCTTGTAGGGTATGTACATTTTCTTAAACTTGTTTTGTTTCTTCTTTCCTTGCTTACTTGCTTGCTTTTTAATCTGGCCAAGCAACAATTTTGCCTCCTCAGCCAGTAACAGAAATGAGGTCATTCTGCTGACTGCAGAGAAGGAGCTACAGTTTGGCAAATGAGGAGATATGTAAGAAGATTAAAAATTTTATTTTAGCTATAAAGGAGAATAGGACACTGCACCCCCAGCATGTGCTACGATTGGACTTCCAGAACCCACAAAGCAAAGACTACCAAATGTCTGAGGAGAAGGAACAAAATGCCGTTTCAACACATTTCGCGTCACTGGTTGAGAAGTAAAAAGGGCGTCTCCCAGGGCCAAGGTTCCGGCGCCCTTAATAAAGTGAGCAGCAACAGGGAACTACCGCTCTGTGACAAAGCTTCTGCTCCTCGCCTCCGTGACCTGCCTGCTGAAACCTGTAAGCTCAGTGGGGCTGTGACAAAGTCCCGGAGTGCCCTCCTAGAAACACCCCAGCCAGAAGCTCTGCAGGCCAAACTGGCCTAGTAAAAGGCAGATCGAGAGTGTCCTCTGTTCCAGGGGAAATATGGACAACTCCAGAAAAGGTCTACACGATAAAGTACAAAGGTAAAATCATGACAAATCTGCAAATCTGCCTTTACGGCTGGCTGTTTTCCACTTTCTGATTCTGATCCTCCTTCGTTCCCATCCAGAACTCACTGCTGTCTTCCTTCACCAGCAGATGCACGCACCCCAGCCCTGCCACCTCTTTCAGATTCCCCTGAAGACACTTCCAACCCCCTATTATCCCAACCCACGGCGCAGGCCACTGCCGCTCCAGCCTAGGTTCAAGCCGACCGGCCCCACGGAGGCTCTGGCTGCCTTCAAGACCACCAAGAGGAGCCAGAGGGCACGACCTGAGTCAGGGCAGCCAACACTCCTTGTGATATGCTGGAGACCAAGGGGACAGAAGAGCTGGAAAAGAACTGGCAAACAAGCGCTCACCAGGGTCTCCCGCGGGCGCTCCAGCCTGAACAGCATAGTGAGACCCTGTCTCAAAAAAAAATAATAAAAAAAAATTATTACAATAAAAACACATTGCCATTAATTCCTCTGGACTCTATTGTGTAGACCTTTTCTGAAGTTGTGCATATTTCCTCTGGAACAGAGGACACTCTCGATGTGCCTTTTACTAGGCCAGTTCGGCCTGCAGAGCTTCTGGCTGGGGTGTTTCTAGGAGGGCACTCCAGGACAGCAAATTCAGCACAAAGTGAAAAACATCTGCTAATACGAAACAGGGAGTCCCCATACCCTTGCCTGTCGCCCTGTGTTCTCCATCAGGAGAAATGTCTTTCACTCGGTACAGTTCGCATGGAGCACTTTGTTTATAACAAGGATTCCCATCATGCGTGCAGTTGTCTCTGCCTATGCAGTGCAGCACTGCACCTGTCTTGCGTGCTTGCGTCAGACCACTGCGTCATGTTCACGACAGACGGTCTCACCCAGTCCCAATTTCAGTTTGCATGGAGTTCGTACTCTGCAGACTACAGACAAACCTTTTTGCCCAACAATATTTTAGCCATCCCAATAAAATTCCACAGGAGTCTGAATGGAAATACAAAAAATTAAGATGTCCTAACAAACAGCAAAAACTTCAGATCACTTTTGGAGTTAGTAACTTTTCAACGTAAGTAAAAAGCAAACATTCTTCCAAATATTTATTTCTTCAAAACTATGAAATGTGATATATTTTAGCTTTGTTTAGACTTTTTAATTTTCTGTTTTTAGAGATGAATAAATTGGATGTACAAATTCACTTCAGACAAAATTATAATGTTTTCCAAATTATTCAAATATAACCAAAACATACAACTAAAATTTCACTTGCACATGAGACAAGACTATTTTAATCTAAAAGTAATTCTATAGTTTACATAATAACTATGTACTTCTAAAATCCTTCCATTTTCTGTAGCATTCATTATAGACTAAAATTAACTCAAATTAATTGAAATACTGTCACAGATTTACATCTGTTATTAACTTGTTTACTTACTCTTTGTCCTTTTCTCTCTCAGAAAGTTGTAAAGTGAGATAAATCAACGACTGACGGAGAATACTTCGGCATACACATCTATAATTCCAACCTCAGGTGGAGGCCAAACGACTGCCAAGAGTTCAAGACCAGCCTGGGCTACACAGTGAGTTAAGGCCAGCCTGAATTACATAGCGAGACCCTATCTCAAAAACCAAAAAACCAAATAAATACATTTCCTGTTGTGGAATAGTTTATCAAGCTGTGTGACTATAGGCCACACGAGTTTCCAACATGGAAAAGCACTTACCCAAGAAGGAAGGTAACTGCTATTTCCAGTGATTTCAGATTTGTCACTGAGGTTCTTTCCTCATCTATAAAATGGGAACACTGTCCAGAAAGATGTCTAAAGTCTCTGGTTCTGCTTCACAGTCCTACAACACCTATAGAAGCTTTACATCTTCCGTGGCCTTGACTCCCTTCTTCATCTATTAAGGATCTAACACCAACACTACGAACTTATCATCATAGAGATGATTTTTCTCCCATGTCCTTCTTCACATCTGTCTTCCTGACACACAGCTGCCAACTCTGAATCATTGTTCAGCCTCTCCTAATGATACTTTTCCATTTTTTTACAGAGTAGGCTCACCCATTTGGTGCTGCTGAGGATAATAATGGAACGCATGATGGGAGAATGTGTTACTGAACACATTTAAATTCAACAGCATAGTCAAGTAAAGTCAGGTCTACATAAACAACTTCTTTCAAAAACCTTAACTTAAGGCATAAGGACAATATATTTTGCCAAATCCAAAAATACTGGAGAGATTTTTAAATCACTAAAGCTTGAAAATACAGATACTATCCAAAGGAAACTCATGTTATGGACATAATACACGACTGAACACACGGCTGAATGTCTCTTCAAGCCCCTCAGTGCTCTCTGGGAGGGAAGTGATGTGCCCTGGGCAGGAAATGGAGCCTCGACCCTGGCCGGCACACAAGCACGCCAAGGTGGAGACACTCCTGCTTCCACCGTCCCTAGGTCAGCAGTCCCGACCTGTGGGCAGCAGCAACCGCTTTTGTGGAAGGACTTTCCCACAGGCCAGGAGGGGGTGGCAGTTTTGGGTTGACGAGAGCACATTACATCTATTGTGCACATTACTTCTGTATTATTACACTGTGCGCTTTATTTCCACTACGACATTAGATTCCCAGAAGGAGCACTCAACCACGAACACCTCACGGTAGGACTCGCGCTCCGACAGGACCGGGGGCTCAGGCAGCGATGTCGGCGATGGGAAGCAGTGGAAATGCAGATGGGGCGTGGCTCCTCACACAGCACTCAGCTCCTACAGTGTGGCCCCGCTCCTAACAGGCTGCAGGCTGGTACTGGTTTGGGGCCCATGGCCCGGAGACGCTCGCCTGAAATCACCTCTGCTTTCTTTCCACCATGAGCTTAGCAGAGGTGGAAAAGGGAGGGAGGGGTAGTCACCACAGGAAGCAAGCCAGCACCAGCGGGGCCAAGCCTTCTGATCACTGCTCTGAATGCCACACTTGGCTGAGTCAGACATAAAGCTTGAAACATGTCCACCTAATAAAATGTCTCCTTCTCCCACTCCTTCTCCTCCCACTCCCTCTCCTTCTCCTTCTCCCTCTCCCTCTTCCTCTTTTTGAGATGGGGGGGTCTCACTATGTTGCCCAGGCTGGCCTCAAACTCGTGGGCTCAAGTGATCTTCTTGCCTCAGCCTCCTGAGTGCTGGGCCTATGGCACACAGCACTGCCCAGTGCTCTCTTATTCCCTTGCTGTTAGTACTTCCTCCCTCCTCTCCCTTCCCTTCATTCATTCATGCTTACGTTTCTGCGACTAGTCGTGTGCTGTACACAGGGGATACACCCGTGAACGCACAAGGTCCATCTCCACACACAGCTTAGAGTGCAGCGGACAGTCACACAAAAATAGAACTACAGTGGCAACCCGTTCAGGACCCCTCCTGTCCCTCAAGAGCTATCCTATTCTCCATTTCTTTTCTCCAATAAATTTTCCTACTCTTAAAAAAAAAAAGGATTACAAAGTACAGGGTTAGTCTGAAGATAATAAATAGGATTCCTGGTGGTATGCTGAAACACCTTTGGGACCCCTAATCCAAAACTGAGATGTCAGATAAGGCAAACTTTCTGGAGGAAGTAATACTATGCAGAAGCCACAGGAGAAAGAGGCAGAGAGAGGCGACTAGGAGATAGGATTAAAATTTCCTGTTTGGAAATAAAAGTAACTAGAACCAAAAAATTTTCAATCTTAAAAAATGAAAAATAACATTTAACAGGATTATAATAAGAACATGCCTAAACTTTGGGCCCTCATGAAATGTGTCATCTTCTTTATATTTTGGTTTTGAAAGAGACCACTTAATAGGTATAAGGCAATGCCTTTAAGAACAAAATTGGGCTCATTTCCATTCCTGCATCCACAGGTTCCCTGACTTTAACAGGGTACCTGCTTGTGGCTTCATCTTAACACGTACAACAGTTAACTTCTGCAAGGATGATGACCTAGCCACTGCATCAGCATTGCTTAATATAACAAGTGCCCTGGAAAGGCTGCCAAGTTAACTAGGAAAAGTAACCTACTCTGAAGAAATATCCCATCAAAGTATGTAATTTATGTCCCTGACTTTCAGTCTTCTGATGAGCAGTATGGTCCCCAAATGTTCAACTTTCCTTATTTCACTTTATAACTATTCTTTAGCTTAGCACATGGCCACCCAGAGAGAAAAACACACTGTATTTCCCAGCCTCCCTTACAATTAAGTGTGGCCATGCAACTAAGGGCCAGGTAGTGGGATGGTGAGATATAGTAACAGGTGTAATTTCCGGGTCATGATCTCAGAGGGAATAGGCCATGCACGTTACTTCTTCTCTGTTCCTACTTTTGATCTCTAGAGTAAGAAAATACTTGCAAGATAGATCAGCCATTTGGGACTATAAAAGGTATCTAGTATGTACATTAGAACAACAGTAATGGGGCCCTATCCCAAAGAAGCTATCTTACAAATTCTAGAACACCGAAAGCGATTTCTGCATGAAAGAACATCTTGCCCATCTACTTTATCGTAGCAGACTAAAGTATCCTAACTAAGCTATTATCTGTCTGGTGTGTCCAAAGGCCTTGCTAGGTGGCTAGCAAACTACTCACAACCAAGCTGCTGACAACAGGGAGCTGAACTCATCAATCCCTCGCTTTTGTACCTCCTGCTTACCTCATGTCGAAAGGCAACAGTGATACACAGAAAAAACAACCCTTGACTGTTGGTTATTATGAGTACTTGCAAAAGACACACTTTGTTCATGCTCTAATATATCCTGGCTATCTATGAAACAATTTTTCTAGCAACCATAAGAGACTAACTTTCCTGATGTGCAATCCTTCTTTTTCTAGATGGAATTACTGTGATGAATTTGACTCATCTCTTTGCTGGGATTTTTAAAATAAATCAAACACACCAAATAAAATATAATGATGTCTTCCCCCATGAGGAGCCCAAAAACATGACCAAGAGGTAGAAAAGAGAAAACTACTCTACATTTCAGGTCCCAGGGGCTGACTCCATAGAACACAAAATCCAAAAGAAAATATACCCTCTGATGAATTACTGTGCAAATGATAATTCTTTGCAACATTAAATTTAAGATGAGTAACGTATATTGCAACCATTCTATAAAACACCTTAGCACTGTAGAGGGTAAAGAACAATTACAATTTTGAACTAGAAAAATATTTTGCACCAGGAAACCAACAGTCTGTTATTCTTAAAAAACAAAGTATGGTCTGAATAGGAAACTAACATAGTAGGTATCTTATAGAAGTAACTCCTAAGTACTCTGAATTACACTAGCCTATAGATTTGTTTGATTTCAAGTGACACTTCAATATGCAAAATGCATTTGCGTATTAAAATAAGTTTTGGGGATTTAAAAATTTTAATTGACATGTAGAGAAATGGGAAAAAAACTTCTAGGAAGAACTAGGGACTGAGCTTGACCCTATAGATACCAAGAAAACTGCACCATCCTCCAACTCATCAAGTTAAAAATCGAATGGAGAGGGCAGAAAGATGGGTCCCCGAATCTAACCACAGTGCGGCATGGTACTTTCTCCAGCAGGTGCTGTGTGGGAGCACAGCGGCAGGACCCACTCTATCTAGAAGGAAGACTGGAAATCTTCAGAGGAGGTGACTTAGAGAGTACACTCTGAAGGACAAGCCTTTTTACATGGAATCTTCGCTAATAAAGGACTAGGTCTTGGCGTTAGGGTAAAAGCTCTCAACCCGGATGACCCCATCCCCAAGAGGAATCTCTGGAAGGGGAAGTGGAGTGTTTGGGCGTGACACAGTGATCGCAAGGTACTCCAGGCATGAGTACGGGAGGTCAAAGAGGCTGAGGGCACTTTGTGTCCTCCGACGCCCAAGATGGTCTTGTACAACGAAAGGTGTTGGTAACACCTCTAACAGGGCATATGTTAGGTGAAGTTGTGCACTGTGATAAAAAACTACCAAGGTGAAAACCTTTTAAAAATGGCTTTTATGATTTTCCTTCTCTGCCTCCCAATATACAGCCGCACTCCAGGGCGGCACCATCTTGCTGTGCGTTGTCATGCAAGGAGATATGATGACAATCACAGGCAGCACAGATTTGCATACTGACTTTGGCAACTTTCTGGCAGGAGCATTGGCACGTGTGGAGAAAGGAGAGGTTTTCTTATTCTTATAAAGATACCGTATGAACTAGTAGGCATCCTGTGGGCTTTCCCAGCTAGGGAAGTACACAAGCAAAACTGGCTCTAACGAGGGAGGAAATAATGGTTCTCATGGGTACGCGGAGCAGAGAGCAGAACAGGAAGATGGTCTGGTTTCACATGGGGTCCTACTCCAGCGTGCCGTAAATGTTAGCACATGCATCCTCTAGTGCACGGACACTGCTCTTCTGCACAAACCTGCTCTTGCTCAAGCTTGGGGACTGGCTCCTGTTCTCAAGGTACTTCAATGGCTGCTCTCAAAACTCCATGTAGGCGCTAAGCCTCCTGCTTCCTCGTCTCTGGAGCCGATATTGTTCCCCAGGTGGGGGGTACCTCCAGTTAGGAGACTTCTGCAAGCACCCAAGTGGGCCAACAACAAAGGTATAAAATATGGTTTGTAAAAATTATATTCACTGAGTAAAACCGTTACTCCAATATGTTATTTTTAGCTACTGTAGTTACTAAGAGCTAAAAAGCGCACATACACACACTCGTGTTTGAACATATTTAACTGTGATCACAATCTATAACTGAAACTGTCAGACGCTCTGAATTAAACTTCTTTCTAAGGTTAATTTATAACAAATGAAGTTTTCAAAATAAAAGCAAGATATATAAAATTAAGTCAGACTGGCTCCAGGATAATTACATCTCTTTTCCTTCAGTAATATCCTGCCCTTTTTCAAACACAGCATGAACGGTTCTGTCAGAGCAAGGCAGAAAACCATGAAATGTACAATCCAGCAACTACGAACACAAAAGATCAAGAAGGATACTTTGATAAGAAAATACAAATCTACAATGCAGGACTTAGTCTACAATCAGTACCTTTTAACATTTTGCTCAAATTGTGATCACGGGAACAGTACTTAGCTCTTGACTACATGCCAGTCACGTCCCACACACTCCGCATGTATTACAAGCTCAT